CATATTCCTGATCCTTATCAGCACATCTTGCCTTACTCGAAAGAGCAGAGCTGTAACAAGGGCACAGTGGTGGAACTCATGCTTTGCTGGCATCAGGAGAACAAGCTGCAGGCAGGATCGCCAGCTGCACCTGGAAAATGCACATGGAGAAGGGCAACTTGGTCATCAAGATACCTCACAACAGCTCTGCTCTGGGCCTCCCTTTAACAGAGGCCATATGAGTTAATAAGAGGGGCTGTTGGGTTTGCTCTGAAGTCAATATGTGAAAGGGATCTGTTTCCTTGGTTTTCCCTGCCCTCTGTCTTAGAAATGTTCGAGACCCTTTTAACAGAATCTGCTGAATCATTTTGGGTACACTTGGTGTTGGCACACATATGCACAGACTCATCCACTTGCTCACAAACCAGCAGCGCCATGGTTGGGAAGATCCCAGTTAGAGTGCAGACACAGAAAGGCACTTGCATGCCTAAAGCAGATGAAGCTGGGATGCAAAATGTTGCTTCCAAGAGAAATGCAGTAACCTGCAAAAACTTGCCAATGTATTTGATGAAACCAGAAATTTATCATGAAAATTCCCCCAATACCTTTCCTTTTGGTGCAGGGAGGGGATCAACAAATTTCAGTTTGATTTCCTCTGCCCAGTACCAAATCGATCACCCAATTACTTCAGTCCTGGGTGTCATTTGAGACTACCCTGATTGGAGGTACTCTTCATGAAGACTTAAACCATGACACGAGGAGGACTGATCTCGTGAGCATTCCAGGTCCTCATGGGGAAACCAGGCAATCTTGGATAGGACACTGTCTGGTAGACTGGCTTCTGCTGGAAACTTATCTGTGTTCTAGCAAGACTCTGTTGAAGTGCATGCATCTGAGTAATTTTATTTTTTTAGTTCAGATGAATCAGCAGATCCAATTCCAAAAGCTGTGTATGTTAAAAAAAAAACTTCTGGCAGTATACAGACCAGATTTCCCAAATGTTTTAAACAGAGCTCTCATCTACACCAACCTCTAAAAAGATGTCCACTGCTAAAGTGTAAAGCATGCTCTCATGGTTACTTCTCTGTCTCAACACCCAAATGTACAATTAACCCTTGTGCTAGAACAAGTTTCCTTCTGATATTCTTTGGTGGAAGGTGATATAACCAATAGGTACTGACATTTAAAGTAACATCTGTGGCAGCCACTGTGATGGACAATCCTTACTACACAGCTGGGGTTGAAGGCTGTCAGCAAACTCATGAATTTCAGCGGTGACTTCCACTTACAACTATAATACCTTGAACCTTTGTTTGCTTTTTAATGATAAATAGTCACTCTGGAGCACTATCAAGTCATCTAACTGGTATTATTTTTGGCCAGATATTTGTATTGCTGCAATGCCTCACACGATACAATTTACAGGCTAAAACTCCAGCAAACTGGGTGCTCCACAATCCTTGTAAACTATCCTGTATCTTAGGAAATTCTGCTCTAGATCGATAGACAGAGACGTACAGAAGAATGACGTAAGGGGCAAGCCAGTGGCAAGGAATGGATAGTACAACAGAATACTGACAGGACTATCATGGGAATAAAATGCAAAGATGCTATTAATGTCACATCAAGGTTGCACAATCAAAAGATGAAAAATGCAAACATTAAGATTCCTACAGCAACTTTCCCAAAATTGCAATGCAGTCATCTCATTTACTGTAAGGTCTATAGCTGAAAACATATTTACAGGAGAATTTTAAACTAGGTGTTGAAAAATACCCAGGAATGACAACAAAATGCATATACAGCAGGGCTGAATTACCACTGCTGCTGGATCTGTAGGTTTCTGGTTTTAATAGTCATTCTCAGAATATCTGGGGGATTTTAGAGAAGAAGCAAGGAAAATGAAACATGGAGAGAAAAAAGCAAAATCTTTGGCAAAATATCAGGCTGCCCTAACTAATAATAACCTTCTGCTAGCAGCTGTTGATGTGGACTAAGAAGTGTGTGCTTCCCAGTCCCCTTATGCCCTGAAAATATGAATGCTCAGATGCTGAAATTTCCCATGCTCTGTCTATGGAGATTAGCACTTTTGTTAACTTCCTGACAGTTTCCCCCACCAAACTTATTCAGAAGGAATAAAGTCAGTGAGGAACTTCCTGGTGTCTGCCTTAGATTTTGGATCTGGGTTGAATACGTCATGTCTCAGATTGGAAAACCAACACATGAGCAAAGTTAGGCAATTTTTAAAAACATTTTCCCACATCACTCAAAGCAGCAAAAGAACGTTTCCATGAAACAACGGAAAATAAAACTCACCTTTGTCTAGAGAAGTAGAGACCTTGCAAGCCTGGGAAATTGTGCCTTCAAGGGCAACGTGTCAGACTATTACGAATGAGAAAAAACAAGGCTATAGTACCAGGGTTCACTACCAAAGTGGCTGGCCTAATATCGTGCAGGTCTTGGTTGCACAGTCACTGCTGCCAGTCGTATCAAGGATGAGTATTAATGGCCAAATTCATTGTAGTTATAGAATTAGGTAAGGGAGAGGAAAAAAGCAGCAGCAGGCAGTAAGAAGTCCTTTTTTTATATGAATAAAGTTTTATTGAATTTTAGACAATTAGAAAGAACAAAGAAAGAGGAGCAAACAGTCTTACGGAGGGTAGGAACCAGAAGAGCTTTCCCAGTAGAAGAGAGGGCCTGCTGAGGGCAGTGTTCCTATAAATGTCACACAGGGGTTGTTACAAAAGCAGAGAAAATGTGTCTGGGCTTTTCTTTGATTGCTTTTTTTTCCCCTCCCACATTAGGGTTTCTAAAGCCACTCTTTTTCCCCCTGTCAATCCTACCACCCAGCAGCAAAGTGAACAGAAAGGCAGGAAAGAGGACTGCTCTGGTGAAGCGTGTCTGCATACACGCAGAGCAACCACCTGCCTGCACCACCATGGGGGTTTGCACCCATTCTGGATGGAGTTGTGTAGGATGGGGAAGGAAGGGAGGTTGGATTTTTTTTTATCCTTTGTTTTTTCTTCTCTTTTTTAATTTAAGCAAAGAAGGCACAAAATCTCAGCCAAGCTTCAAACCTAGTGCTGCCTGGGAGCCCCCAACCTCCCAAAAAGCCACTGTGTCCACGTGGGAACCCAGCCCTCACCTCTCCCCCTCTCGCTCAGTCTGTGCTTGCATTTGAAAGGTACCACTCAGGCAGAAGGCCCTGCCCAAGGTTTGTGCACTGCTAGGGAAAGTAAAGCCGTGCCGGGACAAGGAAAGTGAGGATGAGTCTGTTGGCTTAAACAGACCCTTTTACCAGTGTGAGAGCTACGGAAAGTCACCTGTGACTCCCCACATTGCTTTTCCAAAAGCAGACCTGGGAGGGCTCTGATGCTTTTGGAGGTGACCACTGCAGGTGACCACTGCTTTTACACGTGCAAGGGTTGGTTTTATGCAGGAGGGCTGAGATACCATCCAGGCATGGCCCCTTCGAGCCAGTGCTCTCTAGGAAAGTAAGTCCCAGCCCTCAGTCCAGCCCTCCAAATGGCACCAGGTTCCTTGAGCAGTTTCAACTCTTGGCTTTGATTAAGGCTATTTAGTTGCAATAGAAAAAGGATAGGTGCCAGCCACAACCACCTCCCTGGCTGAGAGGCGATGGCAGAGCCACTGGCAGATGCCACCAGTACCCAGGCCCAGGACATTGCGGGATGTAGGGGAGGCAGAGAGATAGCACGTGGGCTTTCACAGGGTTACCTCCTCCATTAAGCCCCTGCTTTCACTCTTTCTAAGGAAAGGGATTTGGAAATTAATCCTGCCGGCCTCAGCATCTACAAAGTCTGTGTGCGTGGGAGAGCAGAAATGAAAACCGTGATGCCTCTGTGTGAGGGCCTCAAGCACAACACGTGCCTTGCCATGCCAGCCAGCCATGGACAGCCCAATAAGGAAAACCCACCATGCAAATACCAAAGCTGTGGGATTTGAAGCATTTTGTCCTGAAGCAGAGCAGCCCAGGGGCAGCAGACACCTCTGGACCTGCCTGCTGCTCTGCCACGCCACACTGCTCCTCTCTGTCTCCTGAAGAAACCAGCAACACCCCCCAGAAAAAAAAAAAAAAAAAAGCCATGAGGACTACAGCAGCAGCAGCAACAGCAGCGATGCACCCTTGTCCTGGGTGGAGTGTCTCGAGGAAAGATGCTCAGATGGCTGCATCATCCACAGCCATGAATAGGTCTCTGGTGGCACCCCGAGCTAGTGCAGGAAAAACACCCAGTTTTGAGGAGGACCTGTGTGTATCTGTGTGTGTTTCTGTTTGTGTGCGTGTTGGGGTAGGGGAAGAACTGCAGAAAATAAAGACAAACACTCCCCAGTTCATGCCCCCGCCCAGCTGTCCCCTTGGCTGGGCTGGTGGCTGTGCTTCCATCTCTCCACTCCAGCCTGACCTGTGCCTCCTCACAGCCGGCCCCGGCACACTGGCGTCCCTTCTCCAGCAGTGGGGCCGGGGCTGTGGAGAGGGGAGCAGGACAACCATGTTGAGGCATACCCTGCCTCAGCACCCCTCCCCACTCGGCCCTCCCTGCCCCAACGCAGGCTGTCGTCCTCTTGGAAATAAAACAGCAACAACAACAGAAAAAAAGTAATATATATATCTCTCCCCAAACCTCCCTGAAACACCCAAATGGATGGAATCCATCCCCAACAAAACCAGCAGGAAACAAAAGCAAAAGTCCCCCCTGAGGGCAGGGCTGGGTGCACGTCCTGGCCGGAGCCCAGCAGCCACGGAGCGTGTCCCCACCTCCCTGCTCCTCCAGCCTTGGCACATCTCTGGCGTCCACCGGCACGAGGAGCCCCGACAGCTGGGGGGGATGAGACATGGCCAGGGCTGTCCCCCTGGCCAGCAGCAGCCTTGGGAAGGGAGGGCAAAGGGGAGAGGCGAGTGTGTGTCCCCCTGCCGCCTCGCTGCCTTTCAGGAAGGAGTAGGGTCTCTTCTCCCCAATGGGTACAAGAGGCTTCTTGCTCAGCTCTTGGCCGCCGGCATGGCCCTACACAAGGGAGCCAGCCCGGCTCTGGGCAGGCACCATGACAGGGACAGCCCCGATCCGCTCCAGTGGGGCCTGG